AGTCTTTCTCGAATCCAAAGTATTACAACAATGACCCAAATATAATAACATTGACAATTCACACCCTGAATAAATTTTCTTTTGACCATTTTATCCTTTACTTCCAAATTTGAAATTCCCTCATTTACCTTCATGGGAACTTTTTCAATGTATGGAACATAGACAAATTTATAGTATTAATTAGTACCAAAATGTTTTGACTATGTTTTGATCCCCTTCCCTAGTGTTTTTGCTGTAATATTTGAAGTTTAATCATAAATCACTTTACTTTAACTTTTTTTATTGATATAACTTTTAATTAAATAATTCTATAAATATTATATTAATTCTTTTAAAATATATAATAGTCAAAACTCAAGATATCTTAGATATAATAGATATCGACACATTATAAAAATCATATATGAGTAATGTATAAGTGACGATTCTAGTTAGCAAAAATCCAAGAAAGTGACACAATATTGTAGTCTTTCCCAATCTGATAACTTGTAATTATCACTTATATTTGTTATTAATATAACCTTTGATTAAGTATTTTATTAATTATTATGTTTAAATAATTTTATACTATATATTTAAACAATTTTTTAAAAAAAAATATACTTTTGTTATGGTAGACATCGATACGCTATATAAATAAAAAAATTTATACAATTCATAATTTTCAAACCTTGTAAACAACAATCCAAGAGAGTAATACATTACTGTTATAGTCTTGTGGCCCTATGTTACGCCAATTCAATAACTTGTGAATCACTATTTATATTTACTATTAATATAATAGTTAATTAAGTAATTTTTATTCGTTATTATGTAAAAATAAATTTATACTACATATTTAAATACATTTTAAAATATAAATTGATAATATTTCAATAACAACACTCAAAACTCAATTTTTTTTTTAGATATGATAGACATTGACATATTACATAAATTATAAAAAAATCATATTGTTTGATAAGTGTTGACCCTAGTTAACAACAATTCAAGAGAGTCACACATTAATGTTGTAGTCTTACATCCTTATGCTACGCCGGTATGATGTCAAGCCCCAAACTCAAGGGGCGCGCAACTGGCTCCTAATGCCAAAACTCAGGCTCGAGCCGACCCTGCTGAACCATTTGCCACTAGCGCATGGTAGCCATACGCAATCAAGAAAACAAACAAGTATATCTCGGCTTAAAACTAAGCCCTCGGCTGGCTAGACCCCCGTCAACAGATCTAGAAAAGAAACAACTACTCCCAAGAGTTCATATAAAGAAATAGCCAACTAGCACATAAGTCCTGATTGGGCCGTCGAGGCCACCATGATCTCTATACCAAAGTTGAAAGCAAGTATATATAAAGACAATACATCAAACAACTCACAAGCTTCAGCAAACCAACAAACTAGTTCAGCATGGACATAACATAGCCATACACCCCACACACTAGTCTGCAAGCTTCTAAGAGTAGTAAAGATTGTCGGGACAGGGCCCCAGCCTACCCATAAAAATATATACAACAAAAGCTAACAAACCTCCCAACTCTGGCAGCTCCGAAGGAAAGGGGCTAGCAAACCGAATAGAAGTCAATCCTGCTGCTGAGGAGGTCTACTAGGTCATTTGTCGGGACCTACATGCATGAATGCAGCGCCCCCCAGGCAATGGGGTATCAGTATAAAATAATGTACATAGTATGAAAGGCTATAGACTAAATGAGTAAGTATCATAATATACCAAAAGCAATCAGGTAAGGAAATCAAAATTTTGATAAGCATGCTAACCCACTAATGAATCTAAAAATACAAAAATGATCAAACTGCTACCTAACCAAGGCCCCATAAGCTCGGCAAGTACAAACAACATACCACCTACCTAGGCCCCCATAAGCCTAGAAGGTGCCAAATCAATCTACATATCCCTATCGGTAGCTCCTTCTCTTTGTAAGAAGTCACATATCCCTTTTTTGGCAACGATATAGCCCCGTGGGCAGCGCATAGCCCTCTTAGGCAACATCATAGGTCTGTGGGTTGCACATAACCCTCTTTTGCATCAATATAGCCCTGTAGGCAACACATAGCCCTCTTTGGCGTCAAAATAGCCCTGTAGGCAACACATAACACTCTTTGGCATTAATATAACCCCGTGGGCAACACATAACCCTCTTTGGCAATAACATAGTCCTGTTAGTCAACATCATAGCTCCCATAGGCAGTTCATAGCTCAACAGCTAACCAAAATAGCCCCAAGGACGACAATAAACAATTGAATAGGCTAAGACGAGCAATTTAGCTATAAATAATATATATGAATAGTCTCCAAGTCATTCTTAACTTAGGGTCGTTCTTAACATATTATGAGACCCTAAAATGAGGGTTTATAACCACTCAAACAGCTAACCACTAACAATTACATCTACAAGATCACCAACATTAAGTACCCTATTATATCACTCCCAAGCTTTAAGGAAACATGCCGAACGAAGGGAAAAGTCTTAACATACCTTTCCAATGAACACTCGAAAGACCGTAGTTCCTTCATGAAAGTTGTTCCTTATGTCCTAAGCTTCAAATACACTATATATACACAGCTAGTACGCATCTATAAACAGTTCATAATTAATCTTAAATCGGCAGATTTGCCATATTTCCCCAACTTGTCGAAACGTCCATAGAAATTCATAAAACAATCATAAAAGAGTCCCGAGATGATTACCTTAGTTAACCAAGTGTAAACCTTGAAGAAACACCAATAACTACAAATTTATATCTTCAAAAACTAGCTCCAAATGCAACAAATAGAAGCGAAAAATGATTGCCACGTGTAGAGATCACGTTTCTAGGCACGGGGATAACCTTTAATGGTAGAAATCGTCAAAAACTAACCTTCATCATGAAAGAACTCCATAAGAACCCTCTCTTAAGCTTTCTTTCTGGTTTGGAAGTGAAAAGAAATGTTTTCATGGCTTAAAACGTTGAGTAAGCCGACATACCACATTTTTTATTGGACCCGGATTCTGCCCCGGCATTCCGTAGTAAAACCCTCATAACGTTTTACTCTGATGTCAATTGGATACGGGGTTTTGTGCGTTGCAAACTATAGACTCGTAGGCCTTCAATTTAATGGGTGATAGGCCTTCTAAATCTTTATGTATTGGGAGAAAACATCCAAGACATTTCACCCAAATTTAAGATAAATCTTTAAAAAGGAACTTACGATAACTTTTATTTTACCATTTACCTAACTTCAAAACTTGAGATACAACCCTTGAACACTTAAAATATGACATACCACATCATTCTTAATTTATTACCCACCCTTCTTGTCTTTCCACGAAGATACAAGTTAATTTAGATGTTTTGAAAAGTCGGGGTGTTACATATGATAACTTGCGAATCATTATTTATATTTCTCTAATTAAGTACTTTATTAATTATTATGTTTAAATTAAGTTAAACTAAAATTTAAAATAATTTTATAAATATAATTTAAAAGTATTTCAATAACGACAATCCAAGCCGAGAACACTTTGATATGGTACGCATACATTATAATAATAATAAGAATCATATAGTTTATAATGTCAATCCATATTAACAACAACCAAAGAGAGTCAGACATTGATGTTGTAGTCACACTCTAGTCATGAATTACTAATCTTATTATAAAATTATTATAAAATTTTAAGTTTTCATGAGTGATGAATATACCAACATTGAGGTAGGGAGAAAAATTAATATTACTGGTCTAATTTTAATAGCTAAACTAATAAACACAATAAATATATATATATATATATATATATATATATATATATATATATATATATATATATATATAAAAGAGGCCAATTATTGAAATTTATAAATTTCTCAATGTACCAATAAAAAATTATATATTAATTATTAAAACTAGGGGTTAATATTAAGTAATTTATACTTGACTGATATATTAACTTGCCAAAATGCAAAAAAGATTCTCAAGAAAATGATAATTATAGAGTACAATTAGATTCTTTGTCAAACTAAGAATTATACATTGATGTGTGTATTTGTAATCATTTGGTTGTTTAAGTTATATACTCTTATAATTTAAAAAGTTGGATAGAGTTAATTGATTATTTAATTAAGAATTATGCTAGCTTGGTAGATATACGCAAATATTATTACTGATAATTAGGTATTAGTGTTTTGCTTATGTGACTCACTTTCTTTTTTGGTTAGTCCCAAAAAGAATGACATATTTCCTTATTTGGTAAATATTTAATGATATTATCCCTGTTTTACCCTTCTTGAATCTCATTATTTCAATAGTTGTACTCTTTTAGTTTAAAGAAAAAGTTATTGAAATGCAGTAAAGTACAACTACTTTTCTCTTTTTGCTGATAGTCAACAGTACTTTAACACTTTTTTCAATACTTTGTCATAACCTATTCTTTCTTTTCACCACTTTATCATATTCTTTCTTTCGTTTACACTATTGATAGAATTGTGAAGTACATGAATATAATTTTTTATTTTTAAAAATTAAAAAATGTACAATCAAAAGTTGTCCTCACTTAAATTTTTTTTAATGAATGTTTCTTCTTTTTTCTGTAGTTAAGATTTCCAATAAAAATAAAATGAAAATTTTCAAATATAAACTTCAAGAAGTAAAATTTTCTTACATTTATCAAAATGAAAATTTTACTTCAACATGTTGAATTTACAATGTCCCAACAAAAACTTTAAACTATTTCAAAAGTAAATTACACTTTGCAAGATTTTAACATAAACATTAAACGATCCAAAAATTAAATTAAATTTGCAAAGTTCTAATATAAACATCAAAATGTACAAAAACACAAGTTGTTTTAATACTTGTAATCTCATCACTGTTGAAGTAGAGTTAAAGCTTGATTAACATCATCAACATCACAATGAACTTGAAGTGGGAGATCATTTTCTCTTTCGAGTCTTTCTTTGTTCATATGAGGCACTTTGTAGTTATTGCCACCACTATCTTTCATCACCTCAATCATAAACATTGCAAAGTCAAAAATACATGATTGAGTCGTTCTATTTTCATTTCATTGAATGATTTTTCAACAATCTCCACTAATTCATCAACATTTGAAGGAGCATTTTGATATTGAAGAGATTGAATTGCTCTAAAATATCCAAGGTACAAAACGTTAAGATCAACACTATTAGGGGGTTGAAAGCATAACTTAATATCAAATCCATCTCGTTGAGCTGCTTCCATGAATTCCAAATCATTAATACCAATATGTGGTCTTGCATTATCTTGTTGGATGAAAATGGGTGCACTTGACGTTGAAGCTAGCCATTTTGATCGAATGGCTGGAAGAACTTTCTCTATCAAACAAGCTCTTATGATATCTTTAGTCACTGATAAAATCGGTTTTGTTTCAATAGTTCCTGCTGTTCGATTTTTGCTTTTCCGTTTGGTTGGTTCCTTAACTACAAACGGAAAAATTTCTATTTTTCCCGAAAATAATTCAACTCCATTAACGTCAAATCTAGGACGTGCAACAGCTCCCATAAACATAACTTTTGTGATAAAAGTTTTACTTTTGCAAGAACGATACGGATTAGACTCCTCTTCTTCGGAAAGAAGATAATACCTTTCAGATTTTTTCGATAAGTAAAACCATTTTTCATCGATTTGGATATAATTAAACATGTCTATAAACATGGGATTTGAGTGAAGTGTACTCTGATCAATCATTGAGAGGCAAAATCGAAGTCTCGCCTTTTTGTTTTCTTCGGTCAAATGCAGTTTGATGGCATTGGTGTGTGGCCTAATTGCACCTTCTTTCACGCGTCAAAAAACTGTTGATTTTGCCATATTTATTGCAAAAGAAAGAGATCGAATATTTGTTCGACGACATAGTGGAATTTCTTTGAATTGGTTGATATCGACTTGTATGCGTTTTCTCCCAACTCTGCCTTCAAGATTAGTAGAAACATTTAACATGTCACCATTAGCAACACATAATCTAGCTTGTCTCCAAATACAATCAATGGTACTTCTTGATGTGTTGAACAAAATACTTGCTTCCTTTACAGAATCATGTTTAAGTTTTTCATTCTTACTTTCTTTCAAAAGCCACTCCACAATTGCTCGACGGTCGTTCAGATTCAATTGCCTTTTTGTGGTAATTGGGTCTTCTGAAAATTCAACACTCATTTTAAGATCACTGATTGAAAAAACCGTAAAAGGAAGAATTGAAAAATTAAAGATGAAGTATCTCTACTTATATGGAGTCCATTAGCTAATATTTTAAAATTTGACAAAAAAATTGGCGCTAGAAATTGAAAATTTTAATCTTTTCCCAATTTTTTTTTTTTTATGTTATCAATTTTTTGAAATTATAATTAAAATCATAAAAAAAAAATTACTTTTACTTGCAATGGCAAAAACTCAATTATTTTGGAGTCTTTCTTCTTCATTGAAAGATTAAGGGAGAGATAATGGAGAATGGAGAGTGGAGAAGAAAGAAGAGAGAGAAATAAATATATTGGACTCTTTTGGATTTATATTAATGATTGATGTGACATTAACTTATGAGAGAAAGAAAAGTCAGATATAGTACTTTTTTATTTTATTTAACAATTTAGACTTATTAATAAGGATATTTTCGGGACATTGTAGAGTCTTTCCATTTTTCTTAAAGTTTGTGTCAAATCAAAGTACATCATATAAAATGGGACGGAGGGAGTACAACATTGATGGATTGTTTGAAATCCTTCTCAGAAGCCTCATGCCTGCAAGCAAATATGGGAAAATGCTCTATTTATTTATTTTGGAGGTATCTCAAACATGGAAGGTGATGGGATTACTCACAGTACTGGATTTTCTGCTGGTCAATTACCCTTCAAATACTTAGGCATTCTCCTTTTCACATAGAAGCTCTCAATTCAGTGGACCCCTTTGGTAGAGAAAATAGTTGCAAAGATCTCTTCTTGGATGTACTGATAAAAAATTATCTCATGCCGGAAGATTGGAATTAATCCAAATTGTTTTTTTGACATTCAGTCATATCGGTTACAACTCTTCCTCATCCCAGAAAAGGTACTTAAGCTCATTGATTTTTACTGCAAGAGTTTTCTGTGGCCAGACACCAATACCATTTCCCAAAACTCCTTAGTTGCTTGGGAAATAATATGTACTCCAAGATCCATAGGAGGATTAAACCTAATCAACATTCGGTTGTGAAACAAAGCAGCTATTGCAAAAATTAGTTGGGACTTAGCTCACAAGCAAGACAAATTGTGGATCAGATAGATAGGCTACAAACAAGTGATAGACTACGGACATGGGAGATAGATGTTGATCAAAATTGCAAACTCTATCATCAATAGAAGGAAACAAAAGATCACATATTTGTTCTATGTGAATTTACACAAGGGATGTGGAGAAGAATCATGACTAAAATGGCAATGGAATCCTACAATAACTTGGGATACTCACCTAGTATTATGTTTGAAGCGGAGATCACTGAATGCTGAGATAATACTTACAATGGTGTATACAGAGCTTATATATGCAATATGGATTGAAAGAAATAGGAGGACATTTGAAGACAAGAGAAGACAATGTGAAGATTTTGCAAAGGAGATTGCTTACACTTGTAATGTGAGAGCCAAGTCACAAATCAAAACGAAAATGCAGCAGCTCATGTTTTAATTGGTTTGTAGACTTAGTCACTTCAACTAACATTTTCTTTTACCTTTAGAAATATCAATCTGTGCAGTATTGCTATGGTTTTGTAATAAAATACATTGGTGATTAATGGAAAGTTAGTTACCAAAAAAATAATTAGGTATTACGTGATTTAAAAAAAAAAAATACATTCTCTTGATATGTATTATAGAAGTAACTAATTATATTTTCGTGATTAAAATTTGTGAAATAATTTTACTAATTACTATATATATTAATTCCTTTTTTTGGAATTGTTATGATATTTAATAAATTAATGTCTTATTTATGGTATATTTGTCGATCTTATAATAAATTACTTAAGTATTTAAAATATCTAATTTCCAAATTACATCATCTTCTCTTTTGAAAAATATTTATTGTATAGACGGCACACTAACCATTGAACTTGATATAAGTGAAAGAAAAAGTCAACTATAAATTTTTGAATCCACGCTTAATTACTTTTTTTTAGTAAATCTGTATTACTAAATAATTAAGTATAATTTGAAGTAAGATAAAATGTTCATTTCTAGTCATTACTAATGTGAAATTTAATTGTCTCCTTCAACAAAGAGAGATTTATTTTATGTAAAAAATAACTTCTTTAAAGGTATTCATTAGTATGTTAAAAATATAATTGTGTTTGGGGAGGAAGGTTTATTACATGTTCAAAACATATTTTATATAGTATAGAAATGAAAATAATATTAATATTTGAAAGTGAAATTACCAAAATATTTTAAAATTAAAGCATATTAATTTTTTAATTAACTGAACCATAATTATTTTAAAATTAAACCGTATAAAAAATTCTAATCAAATGAAGCGTATAACACTGTAATCATTTAAAATTTATTAAATATAAATTTATAAAATGATTCGAATTATATTAAATTCATAAATATATTACATAGATAAATATTATGGATTAATATAATTGGGTTAAATATTTAAGTCTAGTAAATATGAATTTAATTAAAGTCCAAATTAATTAATTTGGGCTACAATAGATGAGCCTAGTTTGCTAAGCCCAAATGACAGCTCATCCTAGAGGCCCATCTTGATGCCACATGGTAAATGACGTGGCATGCCAAGTCAAAGAAAGAAGCCAATAGGATCAAGCCATGAGTCAAAATGACAAGCCCGCTTCGTAAAGCCCATATGTCATATCACTTAAATCTGATTGGCCGAAAGAAACCTTATTCCTATCAGAACTCCTCTATTCCACAACTATAAATAGGGGTTCTCATAATTCAGAGAAGTCACCCAAAATTCAAAAGAAGAAGCTAGAGAGAGCTCATGGATCAAAAGCCACATATTTCTCAACAAGCCGCAAGTTCAAGAATTCAAGCATTCAAGATTAAGAACGATCAAGATCAAAACCACTTGATTCAAGTGATTTAATTTATTGTTGTGAAATTTCTACATCTACAAACGATTAGAACACTATTTTACTTCTTAATCGAATTCTTTATCGTATCACTCCCTGTGGGATCGACCTCAACTCTTAGTTGGATTTATACTTGTAATGACCCGATAGGTCGTTTTGAACACTAGGACTATTTTGACGCTTTCCGTAAAATTTTAAAGGGAAATTTTGAAATAGTTGGTAACTACGATTATTTAGTTAACAAATACTTATTAAATAATTAATATAGTGATAGTTAATGGGTCAAGTGTATAATTTGTTTAATACCCTTTACCACTTAGCAAAAATAATTAAATTAAGTTAGTGGAATGTGCCACTTTAAAAGCCTGATTACGTTATTTAAAAAAGGGTAAAGGGTCAAATATGCCCCTAAACTATTCGGAAAGCTCTAGATATACCCTCCGTTTAAAGTTTGGCTCACTCATGACCTCGCCGTCCAACTTTTGGTCTAAATATGCCCTTATGGGCGTTAGTTGGCCTGCTGGACATATCCAGCTCATTTTTCATTTATTTAAATGCCACATGGAATTGTCATGTCATTTTGACTTTACCACAAGACATTTATATGAAAATGGAAAGGGATTAATTATACCCCTAAAAAATTCGAACCCATAAACACCTAATTCGATCCATAAATCAACCACCCCCCTTTTAAATAAACTACCCAACCCGTTTTCAATTTTTTTTTTTTTTTTTGGTAAATCCCGAAAATTAGTAATTGATTAATAAAAAATAGGAAAACTATGAAAAAAAAAATATAAAATTAATGCCAAAAATTCACAAATAAATATTGTAACCTTAAATTCAACAATTTCAACAATTTTTCTTTTTTTCGGTAAATCCCGAAAATGAGTAATTGATTAATAAAAAATATGAAAAAAATTATAAAATTAACGCCAAAAAATCACAAATAAATATAGTAACCTTAAATTCAAAAATTTCAATAATTTTTTTTTAATTTTTTTTTTTTAATAAATTACTCATTTTCGAAATTTGCCCAAAAAAAAAAAATTAAAAAAAATTGTTGAAATTTTTGAATTAAGGTTACTATATTTGTTTGTGATTTTTTGGGGTTAATTTTATACTTTTTTCATATTTTTTATTAATCAATTACTCATTTTCGGGATTTACCGAAATAAAATAAAAATTTTAAAAAATTGTTGAATTTAAAGTTACAATATTTATTTGTGAATTTTTAGCGTTAATTTTATATTTTTTTTCATATTTTTCCTATTTTCTATTAATCATTTACTTATTTTTGGGATTTATCAAAAAAAATAAAAATTTAAACAAAATTGTTGAAAACGGGTTGGGTAGTTTATTTAAAAAGGGGGTTGATTTATGGGTCGGATTAGGTGTTTATGGGTTCGAATTTTTTAGGGGCATAATTGATCCCTTTCAATTTTCATATAAATGCCTTATGGTAAAGTCAAAATGACATGACAATTCCATGTGACATTTAAAGAAATGAAAAATGAGTTGGATATGTCCAGCAGGCCAACTAACGCCCATAAGGGCATATTTAGACCAAAAGTTGGACTGCGAA